AAAATGGTTTTTGCCTGTTAATTCAGAAACCTCATTGTTGCCCTTTGTTTTTGATTAAATTTCATCCAGCCAAGCATTAGCTCTTTTTAAAACAATATTTGAAAAAAAAAAAAAAAAAAAAACTAACAAAAAAACACAAAAAAAACATAGTATCGCCCAAACATAAATACCTTGATGAGTATCGCCCAAACATAAATACCTTGATGAGTATCACCCAAACATAAATACCTTGATGAGTATCGCCCAAACATAAATACCTTGATGAGTATCACCCAAACATAAATACCTTGATGAGTATCGCCAAAACACCAGCAAGCATGATGACTGCCTGGAAAACATCCGTCCATACCACAGCCTTTAGCCCACCCTGGATAAAGTACGCCATTGTTTATAACTGGATAAAGTATACCATCATGGATAAAGTACGCCATTGTTTATAACTGGATCAAGTACGCCATCATGGATAAAGTATGCCATTGTTTATAACTGGATCAAGAATGTCATTGTGACTGAATAAATTATGCCACTACTTATAACTGGATAAAGGAGGCCATAGCTTATAACTGAATAAAGTAGTCGACTGTTCATAACTGGATAAAGTATGCCATTGTTTCTAACTGGATAGAGTATGCCTTTATTATAACTGATTAAAGTATTCCACTGATTATAACTGAATAAATTATGCCCCTGTTTATAACTGAATAAATTATGCCCCTGTTTATAACTGAATAAATTATGCCCCTGTTTATAACTGAATAAATTATGCCCCTGTTTATAACTGAATAAATTATGCCCCTGTTTATAACTGAATAAATTATGCCCCTGTTTATAACTGAATAAATTATTAAAAACCATGTGTGATGAAAAAACAACATATACACAAAAACTAAAAAGCCGAAGTTATAACAGCTTAATAATTTGGTATAATATAAGTATTAGCATTTTCATTTAAATTAAATCAGTTAAAGAAATAAAAAAAAAAAACACACACAATATTGAAAACAGTGTCAACAGGTCTAAAGCAAAATTTACTTGATAAGACATTTCCCAAATGGTGGTCTGTAGACCAGCGCAGCACTGGTCTGCAAGCGTTACATTACTGGTCCCCACAACATGAATATTTATGATAAAATTTGGTATATCAGAAAATATAATTAATATATTTGGAACTAGTCCTTAGTGCTATTTCAAAACTTATCCATGGTCTGCCAAACTTAAATATTTGGGAAACGCTGACACTGACATAGTCTAAATAGTCTTTAACTTTAGTCACATTCACATAGTCAAATAGATTACACTAATTACAGATTGGATTGTTTAAGTCTACTAAGTCTGTACTGTTATTACTATTGATTGACAGAAAAAAAAAATCAAACTGTGTCATACATACACTCCAGACAGTAAATCAGTAACAGTATAATATTCAGTATACTGTACTCTATTATAGTATACTAAAGAAAAATTTAGTATAATTATAAATAAATTAATCTTTGTTTGTTATTGTTGAACTTGTTGGTGACTGAGTCAGTGAGACAGTGACTACTGTTCAAAACAATAATAGTCACTTGAGTAACACATTAATTTAATTTAAATAAATTATCATTACTGAATTTACTCAAATTTACTGTCATTGCATGTAAAATTTAAATAAATAAATTAAATAAATTAATAAGGCTAACCGAACCTAAATTAAAATTACACCGCCACAGACAGTCAGAGTCAGAAGTCATAAGTCTAAATTTGGAGTTCAGATTTAAGATTTAAATTGATTCAATACTCCAGGTCTACCTTAATGTTTGTCATTAATAATTTATTCAATAACTATATGATAGGCTGATGTATTTATTTGGTTTTAATCGAGTCTTTATATCTTCAACAAATGTCGGTTATCTTACCAGTAAATGAGAAGAAATATAAACAAACTTTTTCGATTTCCTGTTTCGTTTCTACATTAATAACAACTGAGTTCTTTGCCCTTAGGGGTCAAAGGCCAAGGCAATAAAATCTAATACCAGCAAAAATTAAAAAAAAATTTTTTTAATTAATTTATCGCGAGTACCCGGCATGCATTACAATGCCACTAGAAGAAAGAAAGTGTTTTTTTGTTTGTTTGTTTTTTTTTTAAAGTACTTTTTATATAAAATTTTTGTGTGTTTGTATTTCCGTCTGGTGCGCACACGATATAAATTAGAAATGTTTTTCGATGAGTGCGTGTGGTGAGTAGGCCACATTTTCAAAATTTCCTACACACTTTATCGATTGATACACCCAATAGCTAATTTGAATTATATTTATATAGCTCATATAATATAGTAGATAAAAACGAATTTAGGACCCCGGCCAATAACGAAAAATTGTAAAATGGTTGTAGCCTGCTAATTCAGAAACCTACTTGTTGCCCTTTGTATTTGATTCAATTTCATCCAGCCAAGCATTAGCTCTGTTTGAAACTATATTTGTAGAAAAAAAAAAAAAAACTAACAAAAAAACACAAAAAAAACATAGTATCGCCCAAACATAAATACCTTGATGAGTATCGCCCAAACATAAATACCTTGATGAGTATCACCCAAACATAAATACCTTGATGAGTATCGCCCAAACAT